ATACTGTACGTTTCACATTGCATCATCATAAAATATGCAGATCATTTTTGCGTAATGAAAACATGTTTCTAAATTGAGTAAATCTAGTCAATATCGTCGAAAAACAGGACCACATGAAAATGAATGTTAGGAAAAATCAGAACATGATACAGGACTTCTTTTCCTGGAATGGGTTATGCGAATCTGCAATGCCTGTCACCAGCACATCCTTCGACCTATTCTTCTCACAGTATTCCATCAAGCTAAAATGAAGAATCCTTTTAAGTATGCAAAAAACAAAGCAATGCAATGTTAATGAATGATAAGCAAAACCATTTTCTGAAATGCCTTGAGTGATCTAGGCTGATTACACTTTCTTTTCTATATGGCGTTTGTGAATACTGAGAGTTTTCTGATCCGACCCTTGATTGGTTGCTGAACACTTTTAACTTCTGGACGGTTTGAAGGCCGGCTTTCCAAAAGGAACTGCATGCAGAAGCCATCAGGTGGTATGTCCGCTCGCTGATCTACTCATCAGGACAATATCACCTGTGTACTCCAGATCAGCGAGACATCGAGCCGGATATCTTGAACTGCTTGTTCCTCTAACATGAGGCTGTCATGTTTGCCAATGCGAGCAAGGTTTCGGAGGAGAACTTTGACAACCATGTTTAGAGCAAAGGGGGAAGCCCATTTCCCTAGTGAACTACACAGTCGATGAGGAACAATTCACACACACACACACACACACACACACACACACACACACACACACACACACACACACACACACACAGCAGCCGTGGTCTTACATACATCTGTTCCAAAATGTAAACGATGTGCTCATGTATGCCACAGAATTTTAAGATTTTCTGCATTGTTGGAAGAGTTGTTGAATTAGATGCAGCCTTAAGATCGAACAGCGTTTAATCAAAGCAATTATAATCGTTAACGTTGCTTAATAATCATTACAAAGAGACATGCGTAGGGCCTGGATAAGAATAAATCGACTCGAAATGTAAGTGAAAGGGGGAGAAGGTGGAAAAAATAAACAAATTGATATACCTCAGTTGTAAACAATGCGATGCTAATGGCGCAGCGCAGAATTAATTGTTCCCTGTAATTGTATGGTAAGGTAATAATACTTGGATTCCGCTGGAAAAGGGCGTCTGATGACTGTCGTCTTTCTGCATGAAATGTCAGTAGCAGCCCCCAAGCAGCGAGCTAACAGGCTTCAGCCGTCACACATTAGCGAACATGCAAACTAGCGCAACTGGTGCAGAAGCCCATATGTAATTGCACAAAAGAATATTCCTCTAATGGATAACATATCGACCTCAGAAGAGTATGACTGTAGGCCCTAAGAAGGATCATTAGGTTGGAGGCAAGTCAAACCGAGAAATCGCTTGCACAACAATTGGTTGCCAGGTGAAGATATTCGTTGCATTGTAAAGCTTTGGCACACCTTCAAAACACATGGCAGGAGCACATGTAGTGGTTGCCATTCTGCTGCCAGCGCTGGAAATCAATTACGAAAGAAGACAAGGAAATACACTCGTCTGCAAACAGTAAATTCCTCGCATCAACATCTTTTATGGTACATTCGTCACCTTGCCTGCATCCTTTACAACACAAATATGAGAATGGCTAAAACGTACCATGGCGGAGACCAGTGCCGAAATTTAAAGGTCTCGACTTAATACCATTTATTCTCACTCAATACCCGCTATCAACATATGATGATTAGATGGTTTGCAGCAACTAGTGATCGATCCCATATGCTTGCAAGCACGTCAATCGACTGTTGCGCTGAATCTGAATGTAGGTTTTCTCCAGTACTACTAAGCATATGGAGACTGGATGAGCGAACTCTAACGATTTTTCAGCAATCTAGTGTAGGGCACAGATCTGGTCAGATGCGCATCAGTCTCAGCGAATGCCATACTGCTCTTCCTATATCTTAAAGTCGGCTATTACGCGATTCCTTGAACATCTTTGAATAGACTTCGCCTGAGAAATTAAGCATGGTGATGCTCCGATAATTCGAACACTTCCAATAATTTCTTTTCTCGAATAGGACTATCATC